CTGTAAAATTATTAAGAAAAAAAAAAAGAGAAAAAAATAAGGAAATATTGTAAGAAACAGCTTAATGGACGAGATTACCGGTAAGCAAAAGTGGATTAAATATATATATATATATATATATTTATTTTTTATACGATATATTATATATATGTATATATATATTTATATATATATTTGTATATTTATATTTACTAATTCGGGAATATACAAAATATAACTAAAGTTTGGGTAAGATGAAATAATCGTTGAGTGTATAATTGATGGAGTTTGTAAATAATATAAATAATTTTCATTTACAATAAAAACAAATAAAAGAAATATTACAAAATGCAGCATACATTTAAACATTGTATAATAAAAAAAAAATTAACTAATATTCGCTAAACATGTAAATTTGTTAGACATCCAAGTTTTCAAAGAGCTTATGAAAATAAAATGATAAAATAATGCTACCCAAAAAATTGTATACCTAAGAAACCATAAAATAAATAATAAGTTGCCCATAGATGATCGAGGCCTCTGAAAAAAGTGAGTCTTTTAAAATATGTGGAGATGATATGACTTGATCACAATTCAGGATTCGTACATCTTCAATTTAATAAGTTATTACACTTAAGTACATCTTCAATTTAATAAGTTATCACATTTAAGTACACCTTCAATCTAATAAGTTATCACACTTAAGTACATCTTCAATTTAATAAGTTATCACATTTTAGTACATCTTCAATCTAATAAGTTATCAGCACTTAAGTACATCTTCTATCTAACAAGTTATCACACCTAGGTACATCACTAATTTAATAAGTTATCACACTTAAGTACATCTTCCATTAATAAGTTATCACACATAAGTACATCTTCAATTTAATAAGTTATCCCATTTTAGTACATCTTCAATTTAATAAGTTATCGAACTTCAGGGTAAGTACAACTTTAATTTAATATATTGACACAAATGTTTTCGGACATCATGAGATTCATACAAGTTAAAAATGAAGTCTCTAAAATATTTTTTTTTTCAATTTTCGCCTCAAAGTATTCAATCAACTAACGCCATTTTTATAATGATGTTACATTTCTCAAGCCCCATTTCAAGCGACATTCACTAAAGTTCGTTCATATAATAGCTTCTTATCTGTCTAAAAAATATAGTAATATCATATTTACGCCTTTTTTTTCTCCCTGAAGTTTGCATATATAGTATATCTCTCTTTCTCTCTCTTGCCCTCTCTTAATCTCTCTTGTTCTCTTCTCTCTTTCTCATTCGCTCACTCTCTTTCTCTATCTCTCTTTCTTGCTCTCCCTTTATCCATCCATCTTTTTTTTCTTTTTTGCTCTCTCTCTCTCTCTCTTGCTCTCTCCTTTCTCTCTCTCTCTCTCTCATCTTATATACCTATACTAATTCATACTAAAGATATTACTTTGCATACAAGTTCCTTATTATATTACTTACATCCACATACAGGGTACATTCTGGTATTGGAAAAAGAGCGCCGGCCTCAACCACAATATTAAACTGATCTCCGCGCTTCGATATGTTGAGTTCATACACAGTAAGTTTTGTTGGGTCGACTGGAAACAGAAAAACAGCACTTACTTACAACTTTTATAAATTGGAGATACTGCGTTAAGGCTGCAGGATACGTATCTATACAATGTAAAGAAAATGGAAATAGGAAACAAAACAGAACTCCCACCTCTTATTCACCAGTATGTTTTGCTCGAAATTTTCATGCTATTAATCAAACTTCCAAAATTTAAAATGCAAATTACTTGGGTTTTTTTAGTTACAAGAAAGAAAGCTTACATAATAAATTTAACCCAAGTGCCTTACGTGTACGGTTATTACCAAAAAACAAAAAAAACAAACAATTAGAAAAAAAAAAAAACCTCTATAAACCAAATAGGAAACATCTGTACATAGTTTAGTCTAACTCTTACCATGGACGTCAAACGAATCACAGAGAGTTATTATCTTATCTTCATACTGACAACGTAACTGTCTGAAGGTGGACAGTTTAGTAAGATTAGCATACTTCACGTTAGCGTGCAATGTGCTCGACTGAATGTACAAGCCAGACTTTTCTGATGTGACTGAGGCCAGGAAGAGGGCGTCTGCCAGCTTTGGAATGAGAGGGTGACAGAAGGTCGCTTCACAAATATTGATAATCAAAGTTTTGTTACTCTCAGTGTCAAATAAACTCCACGTTAGATTTACGGCATCTTGTTCTTTGACGTCACATTTAAAGTTGATATCGTTAGGGTATTTTAAAAAGCAAGTGTGCTGACATTCTGTTAGGAAAGGAAAAAAAAAAAGTCTTTGGATTTATCATGGTTTAGCGCAGGATGTCTCTATTGCCGGGTACATGCCAATTACCAGACCAAGTAGGAAAAAGAAAAAGTCGCCTAAAAAATAAATTAGTTGCGGACAAAATCAGATAATTTATTTTTTGGGCTTACGTCAGAGTGTAAGAAACGTAAAGCATGAAAAAGTACGCCGAATTAACATTGCTATAACTTGAGTAAATGCGAGCTATAGAACAAAATATAAAGTATTTATATTATTATATAATCGAGTATAATGAAGAACACGTTATTAAAATTTTTCTCATTATATTTAAAGTCTTTGTTTTTTCGAGACAGACATAGTATCTCTGTAATGAATTACTCATCCGCTTTTAATATAATCATTTTAGAACTGTAGCTTTTTTAACAAAAATAATTGTTCTTTATAACAATATGTGAATGCTGTTTTTGCCATTTAAATATGATTTTTACTAATTATATGCCGGTATAAATAATACTTATTTTAATATTCACGAAACATAAGTATGGAAAACATAACTCGGTCACGGAAAAAAAATATTTTCAGTATATAACAAATATTGCGATTAAAATACAAATCCGGAATAGTAGTGGAAACAGTTATAAAATAAAGGAGCCATTAATATGTCACTGCGAAGTTAAGGATGACCCATGATTGACATAATCTCTAGCTGTTTCGATGACCAGGGGAACACTCATTTTCTCCAACACAAAAAAAACTTTTCGCCTAAACCCTTCCTGAAAATCCCCCCCCCCAAAAAAAAAAATAAAATAAACATGGTTCTAAAACTTGATTCTCAACTGTTTGACAAAACATCATTTCGTTACGCTGTAATCAATGCATGACTCACAGACTGATTTGACCAGACACTGTTTGGTTGAATGTGGGGGGTGTGTCCTACTCTTGTTTTCTTGGAAAAAAGACGGTCGCGATTTTTGTCTTGACACGATTAAGAGGTTAGATAAGAGAGTAGGACAGATAGTAATCGTTCATAACACGAGTCTACACATTTCGATCAGAGACAAAAGATTTGAACTCCCAGCCCTTCACATGCTGTTCGCTATCATGCAAGGTTAAATTCACCAACGATCTCCTGCCAACGAATCATTAAACAACAGTTTATTTGTATACTTTCCACTTGATCTTAGATAATGTCCTCGGGAACACGAAATTTACCGGCGTGCTCCCTCTGAAGGCACACATCGTCATGAGAACTAATAAGTCCCCGATTTGGCTAAGAGAGCTCTCTGAATGGCTGTTTGAGATAATTTGTTATAAATGTCTCGTCTTCATATTGTTTAATTTATGTGCTGAATATCTATAACTTTCCATTTATTTGGATCAATAAAAGAATCTTATCCTATCTAAAATATGTTTTACTGTTTGAAAGTCACATGGGAGTTATCAATACATACGTATAAATAGCATACCGATGCTAAATATTTATTTGAAGAATTTTAATACTGTCCTGAAATGTCATGCAATTTGGTAAAAGTAAATTTGAATTATATTAATAGTTTTTAAAAAAATATAAAAAAATAAACATGAATTACACACCTACTGCAGTGGTCAAAAACAATGTTAATGGTATGAACACGGCATAAGACGTCATGCTTGTGACGATTACTCGGTGAAAATGAAGAGCTCCTTTAATATTTCCTTGTTTCTTAAAATTATATAGTTGTTTATATTGCGTTCGAGTAATCAATATTTACGTTTTAAGATTTAAATTTACTTTTTTTATTAGTTGAAAGTTTTGATATGCTATTTATTGTATTCCAAAATGTAATTTTACAATCAAACGGTGTGAATGATATTGAATAGCATAAATATAGGCCAATGCTTTTACAATTATTTTTTTAGTTAATAATACATATTTTTTTTTTTTAAAAAGAGATATTTATTCAATGTATAAGGTAACATTGTAGCAATAGCAAAAAGGCAAAGATAAATCACTAATAAATAGTCCCAAGAAGACATAAATAAATACGCTGAAACGTATGCTTAAGAATCCAACAGTCTACGCTAAAATATTCAAAACGACTGAAATGAGGAGCTTTCAGTTACACGGTAGATAATTAAATCATGGCACGTGATCTGTTATCTGAAAGCAAATGGATAGTATTTATCTACTAGATGACGTAGTAGGCACAAATGTAGCAGGTTAAATACTGCGTTGACCCTCATTGCATCGCACTGTGTCAGCTCGTTCTGACCTTTGTTTTCTTTAATCTGAGCAGATTAAATCAAATCTGACATTCCGCAAATCTACAAATAATTAGTATCCCGTTTCGATTTTCTTTTTAACTCAGTGAACACGTATCAAATAAATACGAATATACATATATTCATATATATTAAATTGTTTCTACAGTCATTTTAAAATCTTCCCTTTATTTTAATACAACGCGGCCGCTTTTGATATAAAATCTCGATTAGTCCAAAAATTGTTTTTCTGACAAGAGATATGAACGTGCAAAATGTTTTTTTTTTTTTTTAGTAGCTTGGCTTTGTTGTGAAAAGCATGCAACCTTTCTGAGGGGATCCCGTTCTTAGACGTGGAGCTACGATTATGTAACGCGCGGTGTAAAATGTTTTATCTTAATCTTGGCCAGGTGAAATGCCAGGGCGTCAAGGGACACTTTGATCGTCACTCAACTGATTTGTTTTCTTCATGCAGTTAACTCGCATTTGATAACATATCTCCTTGGATGCACTCACACATGCACCAGTCTGTATAGATGTCGTTGAGCTATAAGTACTTTTCTTCATGCAGTTAACTCGCATTTGATAACATTATCTCCTTGGATGCACTCGAACATGCGCCAGTCTGTATAGATGTCGTTGAGCTATAAGTACATTTCTTCATGCAGTTAACTCGCATTTGATAACATTATCTCCTTGGATGCACTCGAACATGCGCCAGTCTGTATAGATGTCGTTGAGCTATAAGTACTTTTCTTCATGCAGTTAACTCGCATTTGATAACATATCTCCTTGGATGCACTCACACATGCGCCAATCTGTATAGATGTCGTTGAGCTATAAGTACATTTCTTCATGCAGTTAACTCGCATTTGATAACATATCTCCTTGGATGCACTCACACATGCACCAGTCTGTATAGATGTCGTTGAGCTATAAGTACATTTCTTCATGCAGTTAACTCGCATTTGATAACATTATCTCCTTGGATGCACTCGAACATGCGCCAGTCTGTATAGATGTCGTTGAGCTATAAGTACTTTTCTTCATGCAGTTAACTCGCATTTGATAACATTATCTCCTTGGATGCACTCGAACATGCGCCAGTCTGTATAGATGTCGTTGAGCTATAAGTACTTTTCTTCATGCAGTTAACTCGCATTTGATAACATATCTCCTTGGATGCACTCACACATGCGCCAGTCTGTATAGATGTCGTTGAGCTATAAGTACATTTCTTCATGCAGTTAACTCGCATTTGATAACATATCTCCTTGGATGCACTCATACATGCACCAGTCTGTATAGATGTCGTTGAGCTATAAGTACATTTCTTCATGCAGTTAACTCGCATTTGATAACATATCTCCTTGGATGCACTCATACATGCACCAGTCTGTATAGATGTCGTTGAGCTATAAGTACATTTCTTCATGCAGTTAACTCGCATTTGATAACATATCTCCTTGGATGCACTCATACATGCACCAGTCTGTATAGATGTCGTTGAGCTATAAGTACATTTCTTCATGCAGTTAACTCGCATTTGATAACATATCTCCTTGGATGCACTCATACATGCACCAGTCTGTATAGATGTCGTTGAGCTATAAGTACATTTCTTCATGCAGTTAACTCGCATTTGATAACATATCTCCTTGGATGCACTCACACATGCACCAGTCTGTATAGATGTCGTTGAGCTATAAGTACTTTTCTTCATGCAGTTAACTCGCATTTGATTACATATCTCCTTGGATGCACTCACACATGCGCCAGCCTGTATAGATGTCGTTGAGCTATAAGTACTTTTCTTCATGCAGTTAACTCGCATTTGATTACATTATCTCCTTGGATGCACTCACACATGCGCCAGCCTGTATAGATGTCGTTGAGCTATAAGTACCTTTTTATATACCTATTTATTTTTTTCCATTTTAAGTTTTGAATCAGCAAATTAAAAAAAAAAAAAAATAGATGTATTAAGTTATTTTGTAAACAAATTTCCCAGAATTAACTGTAGAAAAAGAACAAGAAATTAAAATTTACGAATATTTTATTTATAAATAATACTAATGAAATCAAAAATTAATTAACACTTTTGTAATCCTGTTTTAGTGGGGGGGGGGGCAGGGCGAAATTATTTTAACAAATCTATAAAACCTCTTTTCTTACCATTTATATTACTTTTATTTTCACTCATATTTCTATACAAATGGTGGTATCAGTTTCAAATAAATTCAAGAACCTTAATGCCATCTGAAATATACTAACTCTACCGCTTAGTAGATCTTTTAAAGAGTCTAAAGGGCACATCATCTCTATTAATAGAATTTATCAGGGTTGAAGTTCGTTCTCTATTTATTGTGAAGAACTGGGTCGTGGGTCAATACTGGACATTTGCTATTAACTGTCTTGAGCACACGGACTGGTGCAAAAAAAATGCAGGACACATATGGAATAATTATGGTTTTTTTACTCCGCAAGAGATTGTCCCTAGTTTTCACTTACGGCTGAAAACAAACAAATGTGAAGCAGTCGGTTTAAATATATACGTATTTGATTTTATTGTTCAATAAAAAGATTTCCAAACTAATAATGAGCAAATTTATGGTAATATTAGAGAGACTATAATAATATTAGGTCATTTGAAGCATTTCCAAGGCAAGTGAATGTCTATAAAATATAAATTCAAACACTTGAAGCCATACACATTTATATTATTGTGTAGTGCATTTAAGTGCATCAACAATTATTGTTCGTGTCAAGTCTAATTATTGTTATCATTAAAGAAAGTGTAAGGAAAGTTTCACAAAATCTGTCTCTTCTCTACGACGTGATGTGTTGTGGTGGCATTCTCTAATGTATTCTTCCTTCCTTGTTTAAATTTAAGAAAATGGTTGAAATTTAATCACCAAAAAAAAACCACATTAAAACATGAAAAATCAAAGAATAAAGACAAATATATATCGAGATACGAGCTACTTTTATTTCTTTGGTTTATAATATAAATTCTTTTTTTAATATAAACATTGGCTAAACACAATACAAAGATATCACTTTTTTTACTGGTTTTAAAACGTAAACTGTATTTGCATTAAAAAATACCCTGGAAAAAATAAGGGTTAATCTCACTCGTAATGATGTTTCATATCTAAGAAATAATTATGATGTTTTGTAATGTCATGAAAAATCATTCACATGGCATATTGTTTTAAAAGGAAATTGCTTCATGGATAACCCCAACTTAAAAACATTTTATTAGACATATGGCTTTTAAGTTTGATTTTTTAAATATTTTTTTTTTTAAATATATTTTTTTAAACAACTATTTAGAAAACGCTTATACAATATCAACAAGAAGATACAATTTTATAAAAAAAAAGAAAATTAAAAAAAAAAAAAAAAAAAATAAAAATTTTTAAAAAAAAAAAAAAATAAAAAAAAAAAAAAAAATCATACAAGTTGATGTATTGTCGGTAAAATTACTATACGAAGGCTAGTGTGAACCTTTTTTTTTCTTTATGTTTTTTTCTTCATATTTTAAACAATCATAATCATGACCATAAAAAAGTGACACATTAAGGAAATTAAAAAATAGCTTTATAATTACTTTTTTTAAAAAATATTATTTAATGGATGTTATAGGGTATGTGGATGATTAATGTCGTGAATGCACTTTTATTAATTTTCACTATCAAGTTTATTAAATAGTGGATGTGCGTATGGAAGAGACAGTCTTAAGTTTCTTGTGATTGAGCCCCCAAATCTGCATTTAGCAACACTACGTCCCTGAAGAAGTGAATGCTTTTTATGAACATTTGAATGTTTCAAAGAATTATTCGTTTTCCGGTACATACAGTAAGATATCCCTTTTCAGTTCAATAGATTACATGTAGTCAATTCAATATGATTTTCTTAAAATTAAAATCTAATTTAAATTCAGCTTGAATAGTCACTGAATTGGGTGGGGGCCACAAATTACATGTTTTCAGAAATATCATCAACCTGTCCTTTTTATAGAAGAACACGTTTCATTTTATTGGTACTTGAGCGAAGTAGGTTCTTTATTTAGGTGAACATTTGAAACGTTCCAGAATTTCAATGATTTTTTTTTTTTTTTTTAAATACTAAGGGGACATAAGTCAGGTAATGTATAATTTTAATGCAACACTTTAAAGCGCATATGCTCTGTTAAAAAGAAAAGTGCAGGTGTTAAAATATTCTTAATTCCAGCTCAATGATGGAATGTGTGTGTACTTGTATTCCCTTTGCAAGACTAATTGACCTTTTTAAATAATTTGACGTTCACAGTAAAGTGTAAACATGTGAATTTTTGTAAAGGCCATTAAAAATCATATTGCTTAAAGAAGTCCTAATAGCGAATCTTGAACAAATAAAAGTATGTATCAAACATGTAACATAAAACAACA